ACGGTCCCAGACCAAAATAGCATAGCTGGAAATGTCCCTCTCTCCATGCAACAATAGACCCCTTCACAACTCAATAATTCTGAAACATTCTGCGAGAAATTCATCAAAATGATGGATTCATTAAAAAAAGTACCTAGTAATTATGGATAATTCTAAGATTATTATTTACTTGGGCAATCGAACTTCGGGACGTTAAAGTCGTTGAGAAAATTAAAAATCGTTTTCGTGTCCCAAAAAATTTATTATATTATTTTTTTTGGCTCCACCATCGACTAAAAGTAAGAAGAAATCAGTCGTCTTCAATGTTTATAACAGGAGTTGAAAATATTACGGAAACTTTTTTAAAAATTCCATTTCAACTATTTCTTTGATACTTTTTAGGAAAAAAGTTTCGTTTTAACAGTTTCTGTGAAACTTAAAAAAAAAAAAAGGTCTAACTTTTATTTTTTAAAGTTCATAAAAAAAGTATCGTTAAATGAAAAATAAACAGTTATTGGGTTTAGATGAGAGTTATAATGTGTCTTAAATGAATTACACATGATTTTAATGTGTCGTTTGCTTGAGTAGCCAGTCAATGAAAGTCATTTTTATATTGACGTTGAAGCGAAATCGATATAATTTAACTTCAGACATAACTTTAATTAAAGGTTTTTTAAAATTTTAAGTTATGTAAAACCTTTACTTGACAAGTTGCAAGTACAAAAGTTCCAAAAGAATTGAAAAACTATCGACAAAAAAAATTAAACTATTAAAAAAAAAATTGTTTCCTTTTCCAAGTCCTATTTAATAATAATAAATCATATCATAAGTTGGATTGTTAGTCTCTGGTACAAATCTCTTTTTATAAAATTATTAACATCCGTCTGAAACATCGTAAATATCTATATCTGATCGCAACCTACATATACATATTTTATTTATGAAAACTTGGAATTGGGGCGCTTTCGATCTGGCGATTAACAAACTTTGTGTATTTAATGAGGCACTATAGACTCGTAAATACTCTTTTGCTTTCTTCTTGGATCATAAGATAATTTTATCGAAAAATTAAGAAGAAAAAAGTGGCCTACAAAAATATTGAGTCGTTTGACCTATACAACCTCGTTATTTTGAAATTTTGAGTGTATAGGTCACGCCAAATGATCCAATATTTTTGAAGGCCGCCTTTTTTCTCGATTTTGTGATCACATTATCATACGATACAAGTAGGAACCAAATGGGTATTTACGAGTTTTAAGTACCTAATTAAATAGACAAAGATTGCCTCCCTCTAGAGTGAAAACGCGCCAATTCCAGGAGTTTCCGTGAATAAAATAGTTGTAGGTTACGACACTAGTGGATTCAGGATTTAATTTTGGGAGGGGCTTCAATCCTAAAAGATTTTTTTTTCATATACATATAACGATAATCAATTTGAAAAAAAAGAAAGAAATTAACTACCTACATGAAATGGTGTTTAAGTGGTTCTTGAAGTTCTATTAAATGTAATTAAACCAACCAGAATACTTTCAGAAATAGTTTTTAATATTTTTTTCTGTAAAACATGGTTATATTTTACCATTTTGGAGAGGGCTTCAGCCCGAAAGCCTCCCGCCGTGGGTTACGATGAGATGAGAACTCAATAGCCCTGGTGTTAAAAGATATTTCACCATATTTGTTTAGGTATTTCTGAATCCGTCATTGTTCTGTAATATCAGTCTAAAAGGAGTTCGTACTCTGACTATATGGCCGTAGTAATTTAAGTTACGGTTAGGTTGGAAGCATCTTGGAAACCTGCGGAGACTAATGCAATGCAGGACGGATGCAAATTTCTATGACGTCTTAGCTTAAAGCCTACGTCTTACGTAATAATTGTCTAGGAAAGATACTTTATTTCTAGATCTTTCCAGATCATATAACTGAACTGTTTTTTGTGTAGTAATGGTATAGGAAGTCGAGTTGATTAAGAATCGTAAAACGATCAATCAGGGACACCAATGATTGTGAATGTTACATTTAGTATCATTATGTCAATCCGACACCATGGGACATTTAGCCAGCAGCCCTCCTCGAAGGCGAGAACGTCTTAAGAGCACTTTGTCTTGAAAGAACCTTTAGTAGGGAGGGGTTCAATATTAATCACATGGATTTCCCCCAGCACTTTGGAATTGGATTAGTTCCGGCACCCTACAACAGGCGACATTTGAGATCCCATCCTCAATAAGATACGTGCCACAGGATACATAATGACAGCTTGAAAGGAGCTTTGAGATAGAGAGGGTATTGAGAATATCGTCAAGCCAAAGAATGAAGATGGGGCTGATCTTAACTACAGCGCGGAGTTTAAGCCCCCAGCTAAGGTGCTAAGCTGAACAGGGAGCTAATCCCCTTTTAATCCGGGATTTAGAAGGCAGTTCCGCTCTCATGCTCGTTATAATTATAAGGCCCTACGCTGGATAAATCACTCCTTCAAGAAAATAAATGCTTCTCGTTTTAATAATAATTATCTAACTTTCTTTAACATTTTTTTCTTCTTCAAGTAAGCTATTTTAATTTTAACTCTGACTTATCAACAATACGTCTCCAAGGCGTCTGGAATGCGATATTATAAAAATTTCTTGAGAGCTCTCTGGATTTATTATGGCATTGCACAACAAAATCCAATATAATTAAAAAAACTTTTGCCAAGTAGAATCGAATTTCATAGAAAACAAAAATATTGAAAAAGGATATTTTAATTTTTTTTCCAGCTTGAAGGCTGACTCCATAGAAAGATCTTATTTCTATAGCAGTTTTTATACCTTCCATCTATTTTCAACACAATAAATAAAGAAATAAAGTACAATAAAACAATTCTGATAGTCAACTATGCAAGTAATATTAAGGCGAGGTCTCTGCAAATTATAGAAGATAATTTAGCGCAAACAAAAATAATAATCAAAAAGTTTTTATACTTCGGTTAGTTAATGGGATATGACTTACTCAATGTATAATTGAGGACAGACATAAATAGTATATTAATAATTTAATCTGACTTTGATTGTTTTGATCCGAGTTCAATTGATTTTATTGCAATGTTTGATATAAATTAAATTTCTACATTTTTATTTATATGAATATCAAAACTATTAATACAATTGTAATTAAAATAAAATAAAAATTTAATTTAATTACTGAAACACTAATTTTAGAAATTTAAATAAATAAATTTAGTAAAGACTGAATTAAATTTTTCGAAAAAAAAAAAATGGGAAAAAAAGAGTGGAAGAGAACATTCAACTGCATTTACTCCCCCAAACCGGTCCAATTGAAAAGGTCGTGGCCTTCCCAAAGGTTGAACAACCAACAGCAATATTTAAAGTTGGTGTCTTCCCACCTCTCGGTAGGTAATTATAATAAAATATCGCAACCCGTTGAAGTCAGGGACTTCATTTATTTTCATTAATTCTTAGCTTTTATCCTCCAACGGCATTTCCTGCATCGTTAGTTTCAAGACTCCATTCTCCCATTATTTCAGAGTGTAAAAAAGTCAACGCCGATTTTAGCCCACAATATAATCTACGGCACAAGTTCAGAATCCTCGTAGTTAACGTTCAACGAATTGAGTAAAGATGCCTTTTCAATAAACAACAATTATTATCAGGCTGGAGAATTACTGTGCTATGAGTGACAATTCTTAAAATTACAGAAATTTACTTCACACACATGAAATGTATTTTCTATCAACAAACTACTACCAATGAACAAACTTTCCCTGTACTAAGGAGGATTAATGTCAATAGAGCAGTCTTATAAATAGCCTACTGACGGCGTTGAGGTGTTGTGTTGCCCAAAATCGGTCTTGCACTTTGCAAGACCAAAACCAAGGTCGCCTAATTGTTGCAAGACCAAGAGCAGGACTGATAAAAAAAAAAATAGGTTTTTAAAAATAAAACTTAAGGCAAAATAGTTATTAATACTTGAGAATTTTAGTTACAATATGTCATTAATTGGTATAACCAATATACTTTTCATTTAACTCTTCTAATTTTTCATTCGAGCTTAGTTTGGTTTCTTCTATCTAAATAATTACAGCAATATCTCTATAGTAATAAACTGATAAGTAACTGCAAGACCAAGACCATGACCAAGACTGAGTTCGCAAGACCAAGACTCGTCTCGGTCTCGCATTTGGGCAACATTACTGAGGTTCGATTTAGGGATTTGTATAGGATCTTTTGTTTCGGTAGGAAGATTCATTTTATATTTCGGCGTGTGGTGAAATTGACGAATACAGCTCTATCTTATTGAAATAGTATATCGAACTGCTGGGCTTTACTAAACTGTCATTTAGCAATATACACATATAATTAATTAATATCAGAGATTTTAATTCATAGGAACTTCTGCTATCTAGCTCTGTTATTCTAGCTTAGAAGAAAATACAAAATACATATCTCTAAGCGATATATGATAATTGTCTGGATGATCTGCTTGCCTCTTCCATCAGTTTTTGTTTTTACTCATTTCAAAGTAGCTTACTACTTGTCTATATATGAAATAGCCTAACCCGCTTCTCTGGATAATCTGACAGGAATTGACTATTCTGGACTTATCCAGTCCACTTCATGAAATTTCTCTTATTATATCTTATCGCTTCCATTGGTTCTTTTATTATGAAAGTCGTATATCGCTTACGAGCTAAAATATGTATCTTACCTCCGAGATATCTATCTCCTATTAGTTTAAAGTTTCTTTTTTTCTTTATTTGGATTTGCATTTATTATAAAGATTGTAATTTATTCAGTAATGATTATGGAGTCTTTATAAGGATCGATAATGATTATTTGAATAAATTAGTAGTTATTAGGAGTAAGCGGTCAGGCCTGCCGGTTTCTTTGACGTAAACCCCGAAACCTTGAGTAGATAACCATCTTTACTTTCCAAGAAAAGTGAAATACAAAAGAACCCCGGTCCCATCAAAACAGCTAAATAACTATTGTCACTATTTGGTTGGTGAATGGGTAACAAAAGAAGCTTACCTGCGGCCTGGCAGCCAGGTGGACGAGCCAATACTCCGGGTTACCAGGAACCTTGGCGGTGCAGGTCAGCTTGTCAGAGGAAGCCCCTAGGTAGTACCCCCTGGCAACGTTCCTCAGGGACCAGCGGCCCTCATCAGAGACCTGGATCTGGAACTTGGAACCCTGCTCCTTTTCTTCGCTCTCACAGGTGACATTACCGAAGGTGTCCACAGCGAGGTACTTGTCCAAGTGAGACTTGAGGTATACGGTCTGGGCTTCTGATGGTACGGGTTCCAATGTCCACATCTGCTTCTTTTTGAGGGAAGCACCATTTGCGTTAATCTTGAACCCAAAGGTCTCAGCGGTGAGGTAGCGGAATTGGACATTGATGAGGCCAATAGTCCACGTCCCCTTTCCTGAGCCATTCAGCTCACCGTTCGTGTGTCCGTTCAGACCGTTCACACCGTTCATCCTGATCTGAAACGGAAAAATAAAGTGTTTTACATAACACCACAATTATATCTGAATATATTTAAAAATGTTATTGATTTTGAAAAGTTTAATTTTTGTAATAAAACAATGAACATGTAACATGATATACAAAGAATAAAGTGTGAAAACTATTTCATCACCAAAGGATAAGAAAAGATTAAGAGGAATCTTGAATAAGTATATATTATTATATTCATGATTGGACTAAAAAATTGAATTTCTAGTGTCCTTTAAATACCATGGATGCATCCAACTTTTTAATTATAATTCCTTATAATATTTTAAAAGCCAAAAATAAAAATAAGTTTGATCCCATGATGCACAATCAAACAAACAAACTAGACGTGAAGTCGAGCTCAAATTCATTTAACTTCAGCTACTTTGAAAACTACTATACCATGCATGAAGTTGCATGTTGAATCATTCACCATCAGGTTTCATACTTGAATATTAAATCTTTAATATAATACTGTTACTTTTAGATTCGGCTAGTTTGAGTTGGCCTAGAGCTCCGACGAGTTCCTAACTGCGGAGATTAAGATCAAGCCGACGCGCCACTCACCCCAGTTGGTTAACAGACCGACAACGCACTAGCCCAGAAGTGCTCAAAACCTATTAGCTAATAATTATCACGAGTATGGACCGTGAATTATGAGGTCAACGGATAAATATTTAACGAGAAATGAAGCTCCCAGCAACTTATTGGCTCCATCCATTAAACAGACGTTGGCCGCTAGGGAGGGAGCTTGAATGACTAAAATGTCATGTATTGATGGACTGAGGGAAATATTCAATAATATTTTTAAAATTTTCTATAACAGTTTGACAAAATAATTTTATCTGATGAACAAGATATGTTTATCAAATCAAACATCATTTTTGAAAAAAATAATTAATCAAAACAACAAATTTGAAATTAAAATACTACAGTTCTTTTTTCTTTTTTTTAGTACTTAAACTCCATTTTTTTTGTTTAGTATGTATCACCTTGCATAAATCTGAGTTACTTTTCAGCTAAACAATTAATTTTCCAATGTTTTTTAAAATTAATTTTAAACTGCAAAAATAAAGAGATGTTAGTATTAAATAATTTCTGCATTATAATAACTATGTCATTATAAACTTCTTTGAACTGTCAATAAAAAAAAATAAATAAGATTTTAAAACAAATAATAATTTGAATAATTTCTTTATAGACAACAACAAACGTAGTAAAAAATTTCTTCCTACATGAAGTAAGGTTGCTATATATAAATATTGAATATTATATTTTATGACAATTTTTTATAAAAACAACTGCACCTCCCCCCCCCCAAAAAAAATAACTAAAATTGATTAAATCAATTTAACGTTCAATCAATATAGTTAAAAGAAACTCCTTTTAAAGAAAAAGAATAAACAGTCATTCACATGGTTTCAAGGCTTCCTCTGAACGGTAAAGATTTATAAGCATACCGTTCAACCATTTGCCACTGTTCTAAAAAAAGAACTGCAGTAAATATTTAGAATTATGACGATTCTCCGTCACCAACTTACTATGCAAAGTACATTTAAATATATAAATATGTTTTTGAAGAAAGATATATAAATTAAATTAAATAATAATTAATAGCGTTATTAATGATTGGAGGAAACAATAATTGAACAAAAATTAAGCACTAAAAAGAATAAATATTTTTACTTATTTCAATTTGAATACACGAAGAAAAGTTGCGAATTGGATGATTAAAATAATACAGTTGAGAAAATTAACACTCTCAGTGGAGTTCGTATGCCGAAAACGTCCAAATTCATCAAACTGTTCAGAATATTACTGCAGTTAAAATTGGGAATACATTTTTAGGAAATAAATGTGCCATCACTTCTTCTTGGAAGATTAAAAAGCTTCGAATAATTTGTATATTAATATCCGAAAATAAAAATTTCGGACAGATTTTAATTATCTGAAGCTCAAAACTCAACTAACCATAACACTCTCTTGTTTTGCCAATTAAAGAAGGTGTTCTGTAGCGACGGTTCTTTTGGTTTGTAGCACGCGATACCTTTAATTACAAGAAAAGCGTAAACTACAGGAAAAATAGTAATGAGCGTACAGCTAAAAGATCTGCTGTAATTAAGGAGCATTTTTTTAGAAATAATATCACTAAGTAGTAAAATGCCATATAAGTAGTTCTTTAATTATTTAATAATACATGAAAAATGCCGACATTTTACATCTTGTTTATATTTTTTATCATTTATTTATTTCGCATTATTCAAGCGGGTCATTAGAAGTACAGTTTGTTTACATTTTCAACGTGTTATTTACAAATAAACAGTGCACTTTTTGAATGTTAAAGTTATTCTTATTTTTTTTTTATAAACAAAATACAAGAACGATCAAGTGATTGTTAGTAAAACACAAATGGAGCCTGCTGTTGGACTGAAAAGCTATTAATTTGACCTCTGCTGGAAACAAAGTTGGGGGTCTTCTGGTCTTTATAGTATATAAAATACAATAAATAAATAAATATACGATCAAATGAGTCGTTTATTTAAAAATTGAACAGCTAGTCATCATTGACAATTTTAAAAGAAATACATGTTCTTGTAACCGAAAAGGAAATCTGGTTAAAAATAAAATATATTTTAAATGGTGCTTTGAAAAAAAAAAAAGAATAAGTATATCTAAAAAAAAAACTCTGTATACATTGTAAAACATATTTTTAACATCTTACTCGTCAGATCGAGTCTTTCAATAGCTTGGAACCATATTAGAACTTCTGAAAATAACTTTTATCATTGACCTTAGTAATCTTATTCACTGTTTTCTAAAAAAAAAAGTGTCTACTTTACGATGCCGTACTCAGAATTTTATTATCTTGAACACTTTTTGGACGATTCCTTCTTATTCAATAAAAACGTGACCACACATAATTGGTCTTCACTCAATTTCCGTTCAGCATCGGCTCATTCATCAAATGAACTTTTTTGTTGGAAATTTTGTCTAGAATCACCCTCTAAAGTTTTGCATTAAGAATTGAGACACCCTGTATAACACTATAGGTATAGGTAAATTAGAAAATAATTTAAATGGTATTAATAATTAATAATATCACAATTCAGCAAATTATATCATCCATGAATTAAATACTTGTATTTTGAAAAAGAATATGCTTGAATATTGGGGACCCAATAAATACGCAATGAAGGTCGGAATAATAATAAGAAAGGTAGGAATGGAATTGATTGGACAGAGCAGTTCCCCCACTCCCGCTGTAGGAGAGGTATCCACATCAATAAATATCCCCCCCCTCTATTTCCAGGTCCCGGTATTCCCCCATTCTCAACCAATACACCGTTTCCAGGGAATTCCACCAGTGCCAATCAATCATTACTTCATTAAGTTACAGATTTACCCTCTCTACATGTCAAAGATTTGATTTAATTAAAATAAATTATTCAATAAACAAGAAATTATAACAATAAAAACACAAATAAATAAGATGTTTAAAAACTCAATAGTTATTATTGGTATTAGAAACTACTCTTCAAATTTAATGAGTATTTTTTAAATCTCAAACTTTCAAATAATTAATAAGATTATGTATTATCTAAGATTTTCGAGGAATTTTCAACACCGGGTAAATAGCAAGGACTTCCTTTTCAAACATATATTGATAGCTTAAACTTGTTTCATCAAACGTATACAGACATCAAAATATACTATATGTATATTTCAGCTGTTGTCAACCAATTATATAAAATATACCCGTCTTTCTGCATAATATTCAAATTCGATTTACATTCAAAATATTTGCTTTAAAAGTCCTATTTCTTCATATACATTAAAATGTAAATCTGTAATAATAAGCTAATGCTTTTCCCTCCACAGTTGGAGGGACAAGTCTGGTTTGGAGTTCTCATGCCAGATTGTAAATATTGTATATAGGTATGCATGTGTTCTTTTTATTTATTTATTTTTATGTTATTTTATTATTATTTATTGATTATATATATATTTTTTTTTTCTGCACAATTTATTTTATTTATTTTACATAGAGTGTGAATGTGATCTCAGAACACTATTATAAATGTCCTTGAGACAGATTGTAATATCTTTCAATAAATAAGTTTAAAAAAATAAATAAATAAAATAATAAGCAGGGATACCTATCATAAGGTCGATGGTATATGAACTCTCTCCCAGGAAAAGTTATTGCTTCCCTCTTCTCACAGAACAAAAAACAGTCACAGCAAAAGTAGAATTAGAAAAAAACTTAAATTACGACACTTGCAGTGGTCTGGTACATGTTTTCCCTTATTTCTTCGATTGAAACTTTTCACTCCGAAAAATCATTGTTCCATCGAAATGTACTCCCCATTAAAAATTCAAAAAATTTAATGGCGCCACGAAACTCCCTTCTGGACACCACTAATAAAAAGATAACAGTCGATATTGTTACAGAAGGAACTTTAATTTAGGAACTACTTTGAAATAACTATTCAAAATCAGAAGTAGGATTTTCAATTCCAAATATTTATTAACGATTTTTATAACCTCTGGTTATGTTTGAACCGAATAAAATACGAAACAACTTGCTTGGGAGATTTTTTACGCGCTAAGAGGAATATCCGGGTATTTCAGACCACTTCTTTGATATTTTTAAAATATTACATTTCCTTTAAGATACTTTTATCTTGTTCTTAGTCATATTTTTTATAAAAAAAAGAAAGATATATAGGCATTCATTGTGTGAAAAGGTGCAGAAAATAAATTAATCATAAAATAAATAATAATTAATTTAATTGTTAATCAAAATATATTTTAATTAGGACACAACTTCTTCGAATTACAACCGCAAAATAATTACAGAGTAATACAAAACAAAAAAAACAAAAAAAAAAAAAATAATTCCAACAAATTTCAATAATGATTATAGTTTTAAAATTAATATTATTTCAAATCAAAAATATACAAAAAATAAACAATAGTCTTCATTAAAATAGTTAAAACAGGATGATTTTAAGAACATGAAAACTATGTATAAAGGAAATAATATTTATATAATATTTTTTAGTGGCTTCTTCATCGAATGCTAAACATCATCAATCAAGTACTCAATCAAAATTACTTTGAATTAATTAATTACTTTCGTGACACGAAGCACATGTTATGACAGAATATATCGGCAAGGTGGACTCTAATTAGCCAGCGGTCAGTGCAGAGCTCACCGCCACCGAAACGTGGCGCGAGCGGCGACCGTGAACAGCGGGGGTGAAGGACCGGAGCCAGTCTCCATGGCGACCAGGATCAATACCAACCGACCAGCCTCAACGCATCCCGCCGATGGGCCTCCTCCGGAAAGTGTATCAGGGTTATCGCCAGGAGATAGGCAGCAACAGTACAGGGTCAAGTAGTTCAGGATGTCTTCGTAATAGAAGAGGGAGGGACAAGTTATAAGTAACAACGTACCAGGAAGGTTATCTACCTATGATAAAGTGTTATTGTGCTTCTCAGTGTTTTGTGTTTTTCAAGTTTGTTTTGTTAGTTTTGTTGTATCGTTTCCTACTGTTTGTGTTATTTTAGTGTTTTATAGTTTTTTGAACATGATTTAGTTTTAGTTTATGTTTATTTAGTTAATTTTATAAACTTTTTGAGTGAACAGTGGAGGTTAAGGTTAACTTTGTGGTTTTCACGAAGGTTTAATATAACCAAAAGGACGTTTAGAGACTATTACGTTGGTGAAGCACTAAGGTAAGTTCATATTAAAATCTTACTTTTGAAGATAGGAAATTTATAAGTTCCCGAACGTAGGTTAGATTTTGAGTGTTGAATATTTCCTTCTAGTGTTGTTCACCCATTATTTCAACGTATAAAGTTGTTAATTTTGGATTGCGTAAGATGGCTGATGAAATTGCATCAGCAATGGAGCAGGAAATGGTGGAAGAACAGGCTATAAAGTGCCCAAGGCCTTCAGCAAAGAGGCAAAGGAAAGGATCTCCTGACGCCCGAGAAGAAACAGATAAAGAACGTGTAGACGATAGTCTTCTGCAAGATGCACGTAGAATCAAAGAAAACATCAGGGTCTACATGAACGCAACAGACAGGAACGTGAGTGCGAAGGTACAAAAGCACGTTAATGGGAAAATGCAGCAGTTAATAGATATAATGGAGACAATATATGATAAGAACTATGAAAAAACGTTTTTAGTACAACGTGTGGTAAAGGACACATTAGCTTCCTCTGAAATGTATGATATCATAGTAAATGCATTAGTGGAAAAAGCAGTACCTATGGTTATCGAGGGACTCAAGTCGGAAAGTAAAACCATACAAAGACCACTGTCAGAACCTCAGACATCTCGGGAGTTTCCATGCGTTAAAGAACAACCGCTATTAGCCGATGCCCACGCTATTATTGAGACCACGGAGAATGAAAGTTTCCAGGAAGTAAAGAAAAAGCAAAGAAGGAAAAAGGCTCTTCCACAAGTGGCCAAAGAGATCGAGGCCTCTAAACCAATATCAGAGGAAAGTTTGACCAAGAAAAGGTCTACACATCAGACTACGATGGCCGATATTGTTAAAAGGCTTCCATTAAAACCGATGGATACTACAAGACCAACTTATGTTACCATCGCTTCTCAAGGTAAAAGTGCAGCTGACATCATCAACAATCTGCCTTCTCCAACTGAACTAGGAGTCAAGGCGAGAGTTGTACGGGCGACCAAAGCTGGCTCAGTTTTAGTTTGTGTAGATGAGGGTGCCCATGCTAAAAAAATAATTGAATGGCAAAAATTAAAAGAAGTTGGGATGGAGGCAAAATTAGCCTTAAAAAGAAAACCAAAAGTGGAGGTAAAAGGAGTTCCCCTTTCATGGAGTGCGGAAAATCTAGAAAGGGTGCTATGGGAAAGGTTGGCTGCAAAATCGGCCGTTATTTCTGAGAACCAATTAGGTAATATAAAGCCATTGTTCTCATCAATGGCTAGAAATAAAATTACCAATAATTGGGTGTTAGAAGTACATCCAATGGTAAGATACAATCTACTCAAGGAGGAAATAATTACAGGAGGTTGGTGGTCACTGACAATCTTAGATTACCCCGATGCTCCTCCCTGTCTAAGGTGTCAGGGATATGGACATACAAAAGCTACTTGTGAGGCAAATGGCATAGTATGCAAGTGGTGTGCGGCGAGTGGGCATATTGCTAAAAACTGTCCCGCAAAAGGAAATAAGACCTCACCTACATGCGTTAACTGCGTGAGGGAAGGTGTTCAAAAAAGTAAGGCTAAACACCAGGCAGGAAGTAGAGAATGCCCAGTGCACATCAAGAGATCTCAAGAATTAGTGAGGAGAACTCACTATGATTAGACTCAACATCCTGCAGTTGAATATGGGCCGCCGGCATATTGTGGCTGACGAGCTTCGCGCCATGGCACAACGCTACGATATCATGGCGGTCCAGGAACCTAGCTGCCGTGGGAACAGGGTTACGGGGTTTGGCCTCACGTCAAGAGTTATAGCCCTGAGCAGTGGAGAGAGGAGGCCCAGGGCTGCAATAGTGATTAATAATCCTAACCTTGACGTGATGGATCTGAGGCAACACACCATGGCGGATTATGCATCTTGCTACGTTAAGTGGGGCAAGATTTCTTTCACATTGGTATCGGCATACCTACCTGTGAATAGTGATGTAGAAGAAAGCATATCCGCTATGGAGGCGATCATTAGAGAGATGAGGAATGTGATCATGTGCTCAGATACCAACTCCTGGAACACGGTCTGGGGGTCCAATATTACTGACAGGCGAGGCGCTAAAATGGGAAATTTCATAGGCAGAAATCACCTTGTCGTGATGAACGAACCCTCTGCCACCCCTACCTTCTCTGGAGGCATGGGGCAGAGTTGGATTGACGTCACGATCGCCACGCCTGCGCTTACGAGGTATATTGCTGATTGGACTCTCAGATCTGATACGAGTTCCGATCACGTTGCGATAGCAATTGGCCTGGTAAATGAGCCAGGATGTTCCCACGGTACTGATAAGGGTTTCGTCACTAAAATAAATGACTGGAGTGTCTTCAGGTCCTACCTGGAAGGAGTGATTGCAGACGAGGAGTGGGAAGCGGCAGAGATGGATGTAGTTGACAATCTGGACTACAAGGTGTCCAGGATTACCAACAACATTCGTGATGCTGCCGAACACTCCCTCAAGCACCGGAAGGCGAGGGTTCGACCTGTCCCATGGTGGACGCCAGCCTTAACTGTTCTAAAACGAGACCTCTACAAGGCCCGGCGGTCATATCAGAGGTGCAGATGCGAAGAGAGGCGCACTGTACTTCGCAATGAGTACAAGTCAAAAGCCAGGATATACCGAAACGAGGTTCGCTCACAAAAGCGGAAGTCTTGGGATGATTTCATCATTGAAGAGTCTTCGAAGAATCCCTGGGGTATTCCGTATAGGGTAGCATTGGGTAAGTTGTCCCCGATGCAGACTATTGCAGCCTTGCGGTATCATAATACTGAGGCAACCACCCTTGAAGAAACTGCCAATGTTTTCATTGAAGCAATATATCCCAGAGATGACCCAACCCAGGACAGCGAAAATGATGATTTTGTGAGACGCACCACGGTATATCCACCTGGTTCAGATTTGTGCCCACCATGGGACATTCACGATCTTCGTATTGCCGTGGATAAGCAGAAGACTAATCGTGCTCCCGGACTTGATGCAATAGATGCAGCGATCTTGAGGAACAGTATCACGTATATTGAAGCCCGGCTGGTGAGTATTTTCAATGAATGTCTGGATATGGGATACTTTCCAAGAAGATGGAAGATCGCTGATTTGAGACTACTCTACAAGGGAGGAGATAGGGACAAACAACTCCCTAATTCATATAGACCTATATGTCTCCTCCCTGTGATTAGCAAGGTCCTGGAGAACCTCATGATGACTAGTTTACGGCCTGTTTTCGCTAGAGCAAGTCATCCACGGCAATATGGATCAACCAGAGGCAGAGGAACCGCTGATGCCCTGCTGAGAGTGCGCAGAGATGTTGAGGAGAGGGCGGAGCGGTATGTCATGTTGCTTCTTTTCGATATATCCTCCGCCTTTGACAGCGTATGGTGGCCTAGCGTGCTCCAGCAGCTGCAGAGGTATGATGCTCCTAGTAACTTATACACATTAGTAAGAAGTTATCTCCAGGATAGAAGTGTCAAGATTAGAGGCAATTATTACGAGGTAGAAGCTTCCATAGAGAGAGGTTGCCCTCAGGGATCGGTGCTTGGTCCTGCTCTATGGAAGCTCGTCTTTGATGAGTTACTGGGAGTGTTAGAGGAGGAGCGGTTTCCTGCCACTGCTTACGTTGACGACCTAGCTGCTGTGGTGGCCTCCAACAGCAGAGCTGGAGTCAAGAGAGAAGCAGAGCGATGCGCCAGCCTAGTCGCTAGATGGTGTGAGGGGAAGAAGATGAGGATGGCTGCTGCTAAGACTCAAGCCATCCTCCTTAAGGGAAAGACTGATAGGGCACACCCTATAACGATGTACATAGAAGGTCAGAGGATACGTCCAAGTGAGGTGGTAACCTACCTAGGGGTTAGGTTAGGTGTAGGCCTCAATATGACGCCTCATTTGGAATATCTGGCAGGTAGGGTGGCCCTAGCAATGAACGGTCTAAGTCGTGTGGGGGGCGCATTTTGGGGCCTTAGGTATCCAGCCACTATCACTATTTATAAGGGTGTTGTGGAGGGTATCCTTAGGTATGCGTCTCCCTTCTGGTTCCGAAACCTCACACTCAGACAAAGAAATAGGCTAGCATCGACTCAGATAACTGCTCTGCTTCGGGTCACCAGAGCATATAGGTCTACGTCGCATGAAGCAGTGCAGGTCTTAGCGGGGGTGGTGCCTCTCGACCTCCTCCTGCGAGAAGAAGTGACCAGGTATGACTACAAGAAGGAGGGCTCAACTAGTCTATCGGAGAACCTACGGATGAGGATTATTGAAAACCCAAATAAATGGAAAAAGATTATCCGGGAGGAAACAATTGAAGATTGGAGCAGACGGTGGGTGACGACTCCGAAAGGCAGTACCTTAAGAAAATACTTTCCCACCGTTGAATCTCGGTTACAGGCGAAATGGGTCCTCCCGGACTATTGGGTTTCACAATTTCGCACGGGGCATGGGGGTTTCAGAGCTAAACTCCATGGCTACGGACAGGATATAGATCCCCACTGCCCCGATTGTGGTGTTCCGGAGACTGTTGAGCATGTGGTCACGGCCTGCACTGCTTTCGACGAATTAAGAGCGAGGTTAATGAGAACCACGGGGATTTACGTCCTCACTGAGGAGGAGTTTCCTCAGTTGGTGAGTGAAGAAAACTTCCCGCGGTTCAAAGAGTTTATAAATGGCTGGAAGACGGCGGTGGGCCCAGCTCACTTCAACCTAGGTGCACGCAGGAGAAGAGGACCAGTCCCAGGAAGACCTCCGGATTCGGGAAGCCAGGCCTAAAGGAGCCAGGAAAAAATAGAAGAGCTAGCTGTGTGCACAGCTTAGAATTTTGTAAACCGATATTATGGCAGTAGTGTGTTATTATGCATTAATGCTTAACATCACACTACTGCATACACCCGTGTTGCCCTGGTGGCATGGGAGGGTGGAAAACAAATAAAACAAATAAAAAAAAAAAAAAAAAGTAACAACGTACCACAGAATGTTGTTCAAAAACATACATGACCTAGAAGGAGTCATTACAGTCATACCTCAACCGTATCAAGGATCTTTTATGAACGTTCGTAAGGAAAGTTCCTAAGAAAAATATTACTAAGGGTTAAATTTAAAAGAGCATTATAAGAATTTGGGGCATTATTTATGAACTTTCCTAAGAACTATGTAATATTCTAATATAATATGTAATGTCCCTTAGGAATGTATAAACATCTTATCTTCTTTTAACAAAATTTACATAGTTTCAGAGGTATTCCTTTAAATTTGGCTATTGAATTCAGCTTAAAGTTAAGTTGACTAAACATCTACCTTGGAGTTAAGATGGATTAACTCAACGGAGGAAAGCATAAAAGGTATATTTATAAATAGAAAATTTTGTAAAGGAAAATTTAATGTGAGTAATGAACGTTAGTCTTTGATAATGAGTTCATAAGGAACTTTATCATTGAGCCTTTCTTAGGAACATGCATTCAAATTTAACTTATAGGTCGGGTTGTACCAATCGTCATGATCAAAGTTAACATTCTCTATTAACTAAACCGCGTTAAGACTAGTGTTAAATTTTGGGTCTAATTGCCCTAAATAATTTTTAAACTGAGTTAGTCAAGAAGATGTTAACGTGGGACGTCATCCTCTTTATGACGAGTAACAAGATCCAGTGATTGCAAAGGAACTTGGGTTAAAAAACCGTCCGCCCACTTGCGTGTAAACTTTGTTGTTTACAATT